CCCCCCCCCCCCCCCAATTTACCCTCGCCACATCTACGTACCCAGATCATCCAAATTATCCCACAAATCCAGCAACAAGAATAATGATAATCCCACCACCAGACAATGCCTAGCTTCCCCCGACTTGTATGACCCCAAAATGTTTCCCCCTCATTCAAGTTTACCACCCCCCCAACCAATTAACCCCTGTTTAACCCACCCCCCACCCCCACCAATTTACCTTCATCACATTTACCCCCACTTCCTAACTCTCCCTGGAAGTACAATCAACAATACATTGATAATAACAAGAAAAACAATTGCCTTCCACCTCAACTTATGAAAAATGAAAAAAATCCCTAAAATGGACGAAATATAAAGGCTATAGCCTTACCTTTTTGCCAATTTTGCCCCCTTTTTCACTAAAAGTGGACGTAAAGTTACTTGTAGCGGGAACAGTAAAGAAAAAAGTGGGGAGAATTATTGGGGGATGGGGGAGTGAAAAAATGGAAATTTTTTAACGGAAAAAGAATATGAAAAAAGTAAAAAGAAAATGGAAAAAGTGGCATGTAAATTAGTCTTGTAATTCAAAACCTATTCCTATCCTGGCCTACTCCGCAGGCCTCTCTATGGGTTTTAGCCTGCGAATGGGTTTCGAATAAAAAAATTTCTATTCCTATCCTAGCTTGCCCAACACTTCTCCATCCCACCCGTCCTCGTCAAACTATGAAAAATAATGATTCAGAGCTCTGTTTATATCACAATCAGCGGCCAAAGCGATCTCCGTCAGCCTAGCACGGCTAATATCACTAGGTAATACTTCATGTAAGCCACGTACACATTCTTCTAAAGAGTCTTTATCAACAGGCAAGTGATCTTGCAACGTTCTAGCATTTGAGAGAAATTGTTCGTCCTCTGAACTCTCGCTTTCTGACAAATGTAAGCCCTGAAACTAAGAAAAACTACAGTCAATAGATGATTCCAGATATCGACTATCTAAACAAGAAGGAGAGCTCAAAAGAGCATCATAAAATTAGTAAAATGGCAAAGTTTCGTTGCGAAATGTTGTAAAATACAAAAAATATAGCCCTATGAAATTAGCAAATTTTTAGTATTTTAGTATTACGCGCGGGAAAATGCACCACTTTCTGCTCAAAAGTGATGCTTTTTTCCGCGCGTAATACTAGAACACTCAAAATTTGCTAATTTCACAGGGTTATATTTTTCGTATTTTACAACATTTTGCAACCAAATTTGGCAATCAATTATTTCATTCTTCTTGTCCGGATCAAAATATAGTCTATAGCTAGAATCATCCATTTCCGTATTAGAAATTCTTACCCTTTACCCTACTTTTAACCCATCTTCACCCTAACCATGAGTAGATCACGCTGTTAATTAACATACCCTAAATGTGCCCGTTGGAGATCTTCTCCAATAATCTTCGCCATTAAAATCACTGTCCTCACTGCTACTCTCATCAAACCTGAAAAATTCGGGGAAAACAGTTTAGAACTTATAAGTTTTCTTCCTGGAGTATAATACTGGACCTCCAGGAAGAACAGCTAAGAACTGTATAGAACTATCTAGTTTTAAGCAAGGGCCGCGGAACCGGGACTCCCCACTTTTTTTAAAAGTGAAAAAAAATTTTTAAAAGTGAAAAAAGTGACCTTTTTTCTGGGCTAAAGTGCCCCATTTAAAGAACGAAAAAAGTATTTCTTGAATGAACGCCCTCTTTTGCTGGAAAGAAACTGCCCTTTTTGCAGCATAGTAAAGACTCTGTAAAGGCCATTTGCAACGTTATAGAGACTCCATATTTTCAAAAATTTTCGTTCGGCTCGTGAACGACATGAAATCGTTTGATTTTGGTCACATACAAAAGTGCCCCCTTTGGCCAATGCCCCTCCACTTTCGAAATGCTTCCGCGACCTCCGAGTTTTAAACGTTTTCTCTTGTAGCAAAATAGGCTTTACTGGACCTCTGGGGAAAACAATTCAGGACTGACGTTAGAAGTTAGTTTGATTTAAAGGATCGTTTACACTTACAGATTTTAAGTGGGATTTTCTCCTTCTGATGGATGTGAACGAGTGGCTAAGTTATAAATGTTCAGATGAGGGTACATGTACTCCGAACATTCGTAACTCATCTACTCGTTCACATACATCAGAAGAGGAAAATCACAAAATTGCAAGTAAGAGATGATTGGACCTCTGGGGAGAACACATAGAACTATCCAGTCAGGGATGGATCCAGCATGATCTGGTGGGGGGGTGCTCTGCCTGCTCTGGTGCCGAGTTGTGTCGGTCATGTGTGCCGCCCGCCCATCAACTTGCTTCACTACTGCACAGTCTAGCTTGACTACTGTATTTGAATTGTAATTGTTGTACACAGTTCGCTTATCATCATGTTATTTCTCAAATTACTGTATCTCATTTTATCTCTAATATTTTTTTTGCTTTATCATGAAAAATAGCACCCCCCCTGCACCACCCCCCCCAGTAAATCCATCCCTGTATCCAGTACGAATACATTAGTTTTTTATGTTGTTTGCATTTGTTTAATGTTGAAACGCTGGCCAAATGAGAGATGACACATATATAACGGACATGTATAGGGAGGGAGAACAGTTCAGAACTGGTAGAGGTATGGAGTATAAATAATTTAAAATATCTACCGTTTCATAGAATGTTCATATATTCCAAGCAAGTCTTTCTGAAGTGTTGTCGAAAGATTGATAAAATCCTGGTTGTGACGAATATCTTTCTCGGTGAAATTTAAAGGGATAAAATTTAACACGTCGCACTAAAATAAAAATTTGACAGCATTGGAAATGATATGTTTGTGATGTTACTCTGAGTGTATATCCACACCGGGCGAGCTTGAAAAATATGCCCGGCCACGGTGGGAATCGAACCTACGACCTTTGGAATACTAGCCCAATGCTCTGCCAACTGAGCTACGCGGCCAGGTCGGTTCAAGTATGTGATATTTCGGAACAGAATCTAGTTCCTTCGATACCAATGTAATCTTGTAATATGATTTTTTTTTCTGTGCTGGTGTTGTGTACACAAGCTGGTCAACTCGGCCCACTGACCAACTCGGCCCATACCATCTTAATTGGCCCAATTGTTAACTACTGTTTGACATATTAGGAAAGCTAATATTTTACAAAAGATAGCACCAAACCAATACAGCCATTTGCAGTTGCATTGGGCATACAGATGAGTAAAGTTTGAGATCATCCAGTTTGACTTAAGGAGGCTCCCTACAGTTGCGTGCGGGATGTTCGCGGGACCAGTACGTGAACTATCCCACGCAACCGCATGATCAAAACAAAACAAAAATTGACCACGCTTTTTTAAAAAATAAAGCTATTTCTGAAAGGTTTCTAATGGAAAAAAGCGTTGAATAATGCTTCATTTTGAGTGCCAAATCACTTGCGAGTCTATACAGCAATTCTACATATGATACGAATATCACTAGACCAAAAAATAGCTACGAAACAATGTTTTTTATTCATTTTTTTAAATATACATTGTCAACTGTAAAACATTTGCAAAATTGCATACGAACGTTTAAAAAGTTGTTTACTTCTCAAGAAAACGTTCACGTTTTTAGTCGTGTTTCTACAAGATCAAAGTGATTATATGTAAACAGAAAATATTTCAGTTTCATAGCCTAATTGTTCATTTTTAGCAAAAAGTACAAAACCAAACATGAAACAAAAAAATACGTCCACCTGTTAATAGGCTGTTACAGGTCATAAATTGAGTAAACGGCAGGGTTCAATTAGCTTCAACCTTGTTTTCATCGATCTGATCCTTCACAATAATCCTTGGCTGTCCATGGCACTCAAATAAATCGAAAAGTTGACAAAAACAAAACAGTAAAAACAACATTGCTGCTCGATTTTGCTGAATGAAAACTCGTTCTGCGCCCGCGTACAATCTTTTACTAGTCAGCGACGCTTTTCAATAAGGGGAATTTCTCGAGTTACACGAGGCTATTTTCTAACTTTATTTGCATTTTACTCATTAGTTTCATCGGTAACCTATCTTCAAATTTTGACCACGAATTTATTTTGCGGTAAATTATATAAATTTCAATTTTTAAAAAAATCTGTAGTGTGGAAATTTCGCAATAAAATTTTCGCTTTTAAAAAAATCACACACTACAGAATTTTTTTAAACTTTCACCACAGTTGCAGAGCATCATTCCTTATTGATATATGAAATAAAAAAGATAGGTCACCGACATCGTTTTTGAGATAGCGGCACATTTATGGGTTAAATTGGAAGGCTTTATGCTGTCGTCATGTTGCCATGGGAACATTGACGTTGTCGAAATCTAGTTCGAAATATTCCTTAGGTGACCAATATTGCCACCAAATCGAAAAGAATTCGCGTTCCGCACGAATAAGCCTGTTTTACGGAATTATTGCTTAAACAAGAATAACTGTAGGGAGCCACCTTAATCAATTTATACGTCGAATTTTCGTCGGATATCACGACTTGACTGAAATTCGACGCATTAAATTCGACTGAAATTCGACGTATAAACTAGGCCTCAAAGACTTATGATAAGAAGACAGCGGCTGTTTCATACCAAAAGGATTGTGAAGGATTGTGAGCAAATGTATATACCACCGTTATATTTATTGGTACTGTGAATTAACCTGGTCATCTTGGCATGTGTAATTGTTCAACCTTGCAAAGAACGTGGACCAAAATAGCAGCTTACCTGACGACCATAATTTGAGCGTTTTATCCCAAGAACCACTGCAAAACTATAATGTTCAACAAAATTCAAACCATCCATTAAATAGAAGACATGAATAACATGGAAATAATTAAGTTTAGTGAAAGAAATTGTGCATGAAGAAACGCATGCGTGGGGGTGGCGCATGATGTATTGGATATGTGTGACTATATATTACAGGTAAACTACGTGAAGCGTTCCTCTTTTGACTTCATAACTCATTTGGAATTTTCCTCATTAGCTTTGCAAATTTGAAAAACTCTTTGCAAATCCCTTGAGGAAATTTGCAATGTTCCTATCGGCTGTTGTAATATTTCAATGCAAAAAACTTCACTTTAAATTTTCCTAACTTCCTGTTTTAATTTCCTGACTTCTTGTTCTGTTCTGTTCTGTTCTGTTCTGTTCTGTTCTGTTCTGTTCTGTTCTGTTCTGTTCTGTTCTGTTCTGTTCTGTTCTGTTCTGAGCGTTGTTATTGGTCGATTATTTTTGCTAGCCAATTGCAACGCGCAGAACAGGAAGTTAGGAACTTGTAACAGGAAGTTAAGAACTTCTAACAGGAACTGAGGAAAATTTAATTGGCTTTCAGCAACATTGCAAATTTCCTCAAAGGATTTGCAAGGGAGTTTTTTAAATTGCAAAAGTAATGAGGAAAATTGCAATCAATTTAGAAACTCAAAAGAGGAACGCTTCACGTAGTTTACCTGTAAGAGGAACGTGACAAAAAGTAAGGCTTCCACGTATAAAATTATTGACCATCAGTTTCCGCGCCATAATTTCGGAAGCTTAAAGTCTCTTTTCCACTCATCGCAAAAACCATCTCGCAAGCTCAATGCGAGTGGTTGCATCTAATTAAAATCAATTGTCGAGCATTGTGATTGGATGAAAGTACACGCAGCTAGCTTGCGCGTTCACTCTTGCGATGAGTAGAAAAGAGGCTTAATATATAGTCAACTGATAAAACACTGCTGCTCATGTTTTAAATAGTACTTCAAAGTCTTTAAACTATATATCGAGTACAAAACTACAAAAGCAATAGTGCTAGGACTTGTACCTTCATTTTATTTGGATGAACAGCCAGACAATCCACGCTCTTTGTATGTCCTTTACACACATACAGACAAGAGGATCGACCTTCGTTCAATGGACACTACAATAGAAATACAAAATTTTAGCTTCAATATAAAAAGGTTTAATTTATTGTCTGGAACAGTCAAAGTTGAACAGTGAAACTTTTTCTGTCTCTAGGAAACTACACAGACATGTACTTATAGCCTGGTCGCAACCAGAAATTTCGATAAGCAGTTTCAAATATGGCGAGCAGACTACTTACCTCGCATATTTGAATAGTCTGATCGAGTGAAGAAGATATAAAAACTGCCTTTTCTTTATCTAAGAAACAGATTGAAGCTGATTAACAGATTCCTTATTTATCTAAAACACTGCACAACATGAAGGAATTTGCCAAACGGCAGGCAAAGAAGAATTTTACGTTGTAGGGCAGTAGGGCTATAACATTATGATCAACTTTGTGTTCAGACAGAAATGCAGAATGATTCTTTTGACGTAAGAAAGACAATAAGAGGAAATGAAGGAAAATGTAAATATTTTGCCATGAAAAATTTATCATGCATGCTGTTTGCCGTTGCCCTCAAATGTGATATTGAACTTCCTATAGTCAAATATAATTATGTGTTTTGGCTGAGTCTGCATGAGCAGTCAATTTATGCTTTGTAGTTCATACTACTGTGCCAGTAATTGTCTCTTGACTCAGACTAAGTTAGAAATCGTTTCAGATGAACTGACACCAGTCACACTACCATTGCATTTTCAATTGTCATCAATGAATTAACTTAATTCAGCCTATAAAATATTGTACATTATTGCATGCAAAATGTGAAAATATATACAATACATTACCTTTTTTTATCCAATCAACAGCCTTCACCGCCTGTGTGTGTTCATTTACAGATTCTAAACAGTTTCCTATGACACAAAGAAAAACACTTACGCTATAAACGACGTAACAAGTACAGATACAAAATACACAAAGCCCACCTGTTGTAAAAGTTTAAAGGAAACGGGTAAACTGGAGGGATTCAAATTATATAAAGAATCAAATTTCAAAATCGATATTAATGAATAAATATAGAAATACAAATTTTACACTGTACAGTGTACTTCTAAGTCTAATGTGACGTATTATTGACTGTTGTATACATTCTGTTCACGAGAAACATGAATTTTATATTCACTATGAATTTTATATTCACCATGAATTTTACATTCTGATTGGCGAATTCTGATTGTTTACGTCACGCAATTTCCACTCCACCTAAACATTAGGTATACCAATTACGCAATGCAATGTGGGATACATGTGGGTCATTTATTCATCGTCTGACAGCGACGTGACGTAAGGAGTTCTAATCTAAGATCAATTCTCAATTGTGATTGGCTAAGAACAGCATAATTTCATTGATGTAAATTCGAAAAGAGAAGACGACGAAAGAAGTGTCGTTCTTAAAGAAAGTCTAACCTTGCATGTCCCACAAATAAACCACATTATCGTAGCTTCCTGACAAAATACTACAGAAAAAAATAACATAAGAAAATGTAAAAAAATGGTATTGTCAAAACCCATAATGCATGAAAATATTTCCCAGTCATGAAAATTATGATGTGTTGCATGACACCACAGAATAGGAACGTTACAGAAGGTCGACGTCTTCTTTTTTCCTATCATTTTGACGTAACTGTTGCAATGCTGTCGCCATGGTCCTAGCCATGCAGTGCGCTTACGAAAGGCATTCACCCCACTGATTCACCTCCTTGAAAATATTCAAAATGGCGGACGTTCAGGGGGTGAATGTCTCTCCAAAGCGTACTGGCTGGGAACATGGTGAATACATTCTGGTGACAAATCATTGCGAATCATGGCGTAGCAGCGGTTACACTTTTTTGGCTGATTTTACCTTCTGTAAGCCCGCTGTAAGGTTCTTATTCTGTGATGACACAGAAGAACCTTACAGAAGGTAAAATCGACAAATTTATTATTTCGACTTTTTCTGTACGTGTATTAGACTTACCATCCATTTAAAACAGCAATTGAGCTAACCCAGTCATTTTGAAGCATCATTTTCTCCGGCCATGGCGCAGCTTGTTTTTCTATATATTCTATTTCAACCACATCTTCCTGCGGTAAAGTTAAGCTATACTTTATTATACAATAACGTTAAGAATTCAAGCGCTTTCATTGGTCGAGAGCCATGATCTATTGAAGGACAGACGCACGGAACGACGTCACAATTAAGGTAGCCAATAGCATTCCCTTATTTGTATAGATCATGTACGCGTGATATTCGTAAAATTTCGATTTTTTCAAATTTCCAAATGTTTGGGTGGATAAAAAGTAACCTATTTACCTGTTTAATTCGGGGGGTTTCTTTTTATTATATAAAACAAATAGATATGATTTTGCCGCTGTCTGTTTAGTTATAGATACACAGTATGACATCGTAATGCGGGAAGAACAAAAAAGTGACCCGCTCGCCTCGCCGGTTCGCGACCACTTTTTTGTTCTTTCAATGACGTCATACTGTGTATCTATAACTGAACAGACAACGGCAAAATCTTATCTATTTGTCTTATATAATAAAAAGAAACCCCCCGAATTAAACAAGTAAATAGCTTACTTTTTATCCACCCAAACATTTGGAAATTTGAAAAAGTCGAAATTTTACAAATATCACGCGTACATGATCTATACAAATAAGGGAATGCTATTGGATACCTTAATTGTGACGTAATTCCGTGCGTCTGTCCTCTACACGGGTAAAAATTGATCAGGTTGTTCGGCGTTGTTCAAACAGGAGTGAACAATGTTGTGCTGCACCCCGTGAACAATATTGTTAACAAGTTGTTCAACCATCAGTACTGTTGCAAGTTGTTAACATGACTGTCAACAAGTTGCAACAATGTTGATGGTTCAACAACTTGTAAACAATATTGTTCACGGGGTGCAGCACAACATTGTTCGCTCCTGTTTTGAACAACTTGCATCAACATGATGATTTTTACGCGTGTAATAGATCATGGCTCTCGACCAATGAAGGCGTTTGAATTCTTAACGTTATAAAAAGTATATTTTCCATCCTCAAACGGTCGTAGTGAGTGTAGGTAGCGACGATAACAGACAGTGGTGAGAAACACAACTTGCCATAATAGAAGCAGAACTTGGACGAAGGCCCTACGTCGGTAAGTTAGTAGCCGACTTCCCTCTTCGCTCGAAACATCCAAGTTCTACTTGTATTTTTCAGATGTATTTCTTTCAATCCGAAGCCGTCTACATTTCACACTGAGCTCCATATATATCTGGAGTGAGAACTCACGACCACGTCAATTTAAGCCATTGGCTTTAATCTTTAAATCTTTAAAATTCTTTAAGCACGGTAGCCATTCAGCATGTTACGCTGATTTTCAATGGGCCGTGCTAAGAGAAGTTGCAAGACAAGTTCAAGGCCGAATGACTGAAGTTCTCGCTCCAGATATATAGAGAGCTCACTGATATTTTACAGCAAACGACGAAAAAAGGTAATGAATTGCAAACAGTTAAAAGAAACTTCACTGATAACATATGCGACATGCGTATTTCACTCTGAGCCATCAATGTATGTTTGACTTACTGTTCCAACATCTTGTGTGTGTTGTTGTAAGGTTTCTGTGATGTACTGGCCAGCGATAAGAAAATCGAAGTCCACTTGTTTATCTTCATTTAGAAGATTCTCTTGAAAATACAAAACAAAAAATATCACAATATTACAGAAATGAAGAGACGTACTGATATATTGCTTTTCGTATCACCTCAAACCTAACGACTGAGGGCAACCTCAAATATTTCGGCGTTGCTCTATTATACTTTATATAATAACCTTAAGAATTCAAGCGCTTTCATTGGTCGAGAGCCATGATCCATTAGAGGACAGACGCATGGAATTACGTCACATAAAACCTTATCCAATAGCATTCCCTTAATTGTATAGTATAGATCATGTACGCGTGATATTTGTAAAATTTCGACTTTTTCAAATTTCCAAATGTTTGGGTTGATAAAAAGTAAGCTATTTACAGTACCTGTTAGTTCGGAGTTTTTCTTTTTATTATATGAAACAAATAGATTCTTAGATTTTGTCGTTGTCTGCTCAATTATAGATACACAGTATGACGTCATAATGTGGGTAATAATGACATCACATTATGACGTCACACTGTGTATCTATAACTGAACAAACAACGGCAAAATCTTATCTATTTGTTAAGCAGCGATACAACTGGGATAAATATCACTGGGAGATATCACAAATGCAACTAATTTAGGCGCTGGTACACTACGCTACATTTTTAACATTGCAGTTGCATGATCACGGGATGTTACATTGTGCGATGTTTACTTACAATTTTTGTTTTTTTGGTGGAGAGCGTTACTTCAACTAGTCAAATAACGACTTGTTATTGGCTGTTTAAAAATGCGCAAGCGTTTCCACAATGCGCAAGCGTTTCCGCGAAAAGTAGAACCTGCAATTTCGCATGCAACTTGTGTCGCAACGAATTTGCAAGACAAGTTCAAGGCATGTTGCAAGACAAGTTGCAAGACAAGTTGCAAGACAAGTTGCAAGACAAGTTGTAAGACAAGTTGTAAGACAAGTTGCAAGACATGTTGCAAGACAAGTTGCAAGACAAGTTGCAAGACAAGTTGCAAGGCATGTTGCAAGACAAGTTGCAAGGCATGTTGCAAGACAAGTTGAAAGGCATGTTGCAAGACAAGTTGAAAGGCAAGTTGCAAGACAAGTTGCAAGACATGTTGCAAGACATGTTGCAAGACAAGTTGCAAGGCATGTTGCAAGACAAGTTGCAAAGCATGTTGCAAGACAAGTTGCAAGACAAGTTGCAAGACAAGTTGCAAGACAAGTTGCAAGACAAGTTGCAAGACAAGTTGCAAGACAAGTTGCAAGACAAGTTTCAAATAAATGACGGTACTGTTTCAGGCCTCACCTTGTTGCAAGAAACTGTTTATTAATGAACTCAAATCTTCACCACTAACACTGACAGGTATAGAGAACGGCGTTGGTGGCACAGTATACCTTCAAATTAACAAAATTTAACTGTAAACTACGATATAATAGGTGGTTATGGCAGAGAGACATTTTCTGACTGCATTCACTGACCAGAATGCTGGGAGAAAAGCATATAGCAGAAGTAGTCTGTGTACAGTGCACACACTGTATTACAGCATAATACTAGAGGGCACTCAGAGACTGCATACCGCCGCCCACATTAAATTTCGGTCGTGTGAAATGCAACTAAGACAATAGACAATTAGGGCTGAAGCTTAATAAGGTTTATCATCTCATTGTCTTCTTAGTACTGCGTGCATACATTATACACGTCCTAATTACGCATTCAGTGAGTTTTTTATAATTGACCGGGAAAAGCAAGACAAAATTTTGTTCATTTCTCGTTCAATTTTTAACCAAATTCAACCAAATTTTAATCAGTTCTTCCTTAGCCGATGGGAAATGCATTCAAAAAATTTCGTATGAATATGTTTGGTATTTCTTGAGTTATCGTGCTCACAGACAAACACACACACACATACACACACACATACACACACACATACACACACACATACACACACACATACACACACACATACACACACACACACATACAAACCCAGATGATTACATAACCTCCTGGCGGAGGTAATAATCGCAGATTTCATAAAACCTTTAAATTCAAAGTTCTTCATTAATATAATATTTAATACTAGATAGATTTTTAAACATTTTTTATTTATTGCAAGATCTAACAGCAGCAGAATTTATAATGAACTCATCCAATCGATCATGTCATCACCACTAAAACTTTTGTCTGATACTTGTACTGCCCTGACACTTGCATATTCTGATCTTTATATATATTATCCAACATTATCACCAGTCAACATATCATCAGCAAATTATCCAAAACATGTGTTTACTTTAGTTGTTTGAAGAACTGTAAATGTCATGCATCACCATGATTTTGAATTCGGCTTTTATCTGCAAATTGTTTAAAGAGAACAAACTATTTAAGGCAGAACATAAGAATGAAATTTTGTAAATAATGCTGGGGCCGGTTGTTCAAAGGTGGTTTACCGCACGGTAACACTGGGTTACAATTTAACATGCTGTTTTAGTTTGAGTATTTCTGCACGTCTGTTTATTTCAAAACTTCAGAGAAGTAAACTCCTATCTATCCAGACAAGATCTCTGAAGAAATATTCCCAAATTTAAAGACATGCTTGTCAGGATGTTTGCTTTGAATTTTAGGTTAACCTTGGGTTAAGCTAACCTAGCTTTGAACAACCGGCCCCAGATTTTTATTTAAACAACATTTAACTCTAGCTATAAAAGTATGAATAAGCTACTCAATTGACACTGCTGTTAAATGCTGAAAAGAAAGGTTGAAACTTGTCAATATGATCTCAGCACATTATGGCTGTGGGTTTTCTTTTTCATATACCTTCACAACTGCATGGTTCAGTGTTGTATGGCGGTTGCACTGATCTTCAGGGACGTAACGAAGCATCTGAAGTTGGGGGGTCGGAGGATTTTACCTGAAATTCGAACTTCAATGTTAAAAATTTACCTGAAGTATAATAATTATTATAGAGCTTTTTCTGATTTATTTCCACTGTCATACTAAGTTTCCGAAGAAAAGGGCAGTCCAGGGGTCCTGACCCAAAAAACTTTTACATTTTTGAAGCTCCACAATTGCCTTGCTAGCGTTTTCTAAAGCAAATTCGCAAACACATTCGATCTAAATTGACTGTATTTTACAAAAATGGTTATCATTTCAGAAAAATAACAACTTCTTTAATATGCAAATTTTACCCGAAAATGTCAAAATTTAAACTTGAATTTTACCTGATCCACTAGTTTCACAGTTGCTACGTCCCTGCTGATCTTAGATCAGGTATTATTTACATCTGGACCAGATATCCAAAACTGCACCAGAATCGCAGGCCGCAGGTTCGATTCCCGCCAGGGACTACTGTATAGTTGCATTTTTCACAGCTGTTCCTGGTCTAATAAATGTAAATACATTTCCTCTCAATTATCTCCATCTACATTATTGTCAATATCCTTCAACTTTACGTAAACAGACTGAGCTTCCATTGCACTGTGTGTGAAATTGTTGTGGGAGACCATCCTTGAACAATAGATCTCAACAATAAAGGGCATATAACTCGAAAATTGACGGTGCTATTTTTTAGTCTAATTTGAAAGATCATTGAAAACTGTAGAGTAACTTTCTATGTCACACATGCATATTGACTTAATACTTTAAAATGTTATATAATTTTGTCACTATGAAATAAATTAGCTCAAAAAGAATGATGAGCACGAGTTTTGTCCACAACAACAGCCATGTAGGTTTTCTAGTGATTTTGTTTAGTCGTAGTAAAGATATAGACGTAGAAAGTTGGTCCTTTCATATCATACAAAATGAAAGATCTCCAAAACAAAGCAAGAAAACTGTAGAGTAACTTCTTTGACAGATTTTTGCTTTCTTGCTTTGTTTTGGAGATCTTTCATTTTGTATGATATGAAAGGACCAACTTTCTACGTCTATATCTTTACTACGACTAAACAAAATCACTAGAAAACCTACATGGCTGTTGTTGTGGACAAAACTCGTGCTCATCATTAATATTCTTTTTGAGCTAATTTATTTCATAGTGACAAAATTATATAACATTTTAAAGTAAGTCAATATATGCATGTGTGACATAGAAAGTTGGTCCTTTGTATATCACACAAAATGAAATATCTCCAAAACGAAGCAAGAAAACAAAAGTCTGTCGAAGAAATTACTCTACAGTTTTCAATGATCTTTCAAATTAGACTAAAAAATAACACCGTCAATTTTCGAGTCATATGCCCTTTCATTTGCAGTCAGAGCGATGTCAGTGACTACTATAGTAATAAATATAGTCCAGCCTGTTTTCGGTGTTAATTAGTTTTATACCTGCAAGTTGATAGGGCAGCTGTAGTATAATGCCAGCAATGTGCTTGCTTCTTAATTTACCCGCACAATGGTATATTAAATTAATAAATTCAAGATCTATGCAAGCACGTTTGATTATAAACAGGATTATAAAGCTTTATATGAAGCGCGTTGGCGTGATCCAAATCTCTTTGATTATGTTTTTATAATTATAAATGTCAAATTCACAAATTATACATGTAAATACAAATATCAATTGAAATAACAAAAAAAACTTACCGTTTGCATTAAGTGAAAAATTCCTTCAAGTATTTCTGCCAGTGTTGCCAACTGTAATTTTGTAAAAATCGCGGCCATATAAATCATGAATGACATTTTCCGAAGTAAAGTCGCCAATTTCCGTCACAACTCTTACACTTTCAGCGTGTACACGGCAAAAAAAACCCGATCAGGTTGTTGCAATATTGATGAAAACAGGATTGAACAATGCTTTGCTGCCCACATTTTTCACAGTTGTCAACAATATTGAACAATATTGTTACACTATTGTTCAATATTGTTGACAAGTGTGAACAACGCGGCAGCAATTGAGCAGCGGGCTCGGAGTTTTCTGCCATGTACATAGTGGCTTAGCCACAAAAAAACTCCGGCACCGGTGTAAGAGAAGACGGAAGTTTATTTTTCATAGTGGAAGTTGTTATTGTTAAGCGGAAGCATGGCGCATGCGTACAAAAAAAACGAACACGAGAAAGTATTGTACGAGAGGGGATTTATGTGTTTATGTTGTGTTTTATGTAATAAATTTGTACAAAACCAGTGCATGAAGTGAGTCTTTTGAATCTAAGAATAACTCAATATAAAGGAAACAATTCTACATATCGAACATGGTCCTTCGAAGCCGGATGAGAGCAGATTTATAATGCGAATATAAAACACTGTTGGAATTTGAAATCTAAAACACGACGAAAACCCTCGACTGGTAAGTTGATTTATCAGTATTCTTTTGAAATTGAAACTCATATTAAAACTCTCATTACGATGACTGAAGCCCAAGAGTTGGGTGGAATGAAAAGAGTCCAAAATGGCCACAGAACATCAACAAAACGAACAATTTCTGCAGCGAATGATCTCTTGACAAGTGTGATGATAAATCTAAACTAGCACCTCATGTTGTGAAGCTTACACTTTATAAGAAAACACTCGAAGATAAACTAGTTGTATTTCAACAACAAGACAATGCTATTCTGGAACTAGGTGGTGATGATGTAGAACTTGAAATTGAACAAGCAGATATTCTAAGGGAAAATATGCAATCCACAATTCTTGAAATTGAAAATACTTCAACTGAAATTACACAGTCGAATGAATCTGCTAACATTGTTATTGAAAATAGCCCTACCCCACCGACACCACAAAACAGCTCTACCCCACCGACACCACAAAACAACCAGACTGAAACAGTATTGGCCATGGCGGGTTTCGAGGAAATGCAAAGCCCTGGCTCCCCAAGTCAGAGTGGAATTACAACTCAGTCAAGCCATCAAATGAACCAATAATCCTCTGTTAAACTGCCAAAGTTAAACCTGAAGAAATTTCGGGGTGATATAACAACCTGGTCTACATTCTGGGACACCTTTGAATCTGTGATTGATAAGAATCCCTCCTTGTCAGATATTGACAAATTTAATTATCTCAATTCCAATTCACTCCTTGAGAATACAGCGGCTGATGCAATATCGGGACTAACGTTAACATCTGGGAACTATAATGAAGCAATTATCATACTTAAGAAAAGATTTGGGAATAAGCAATTGGCAATAAACAAGCATATGGATATCCTTCTCAATCTGGATCCAGTTACATCAGTTCAAAACTTGAAGGAGCTTAGATCATTGTATGACACAGTCGAGTCGCACATTAGGGCCCTCAAGTCCCTTGATATACCATCACAATTATACGGTAATCTTTTATGTTCCATGCTTATGAACAAGCTCCCACAAGACTTGCGTATACTGATCAATCGTGACATAAAGAATGATAACTGGGATCTTGACCGATTACTGGAATTGCTTGAGGCCGAAGTAGAAGCAAGAGAAAGAGCAACCAGCAACAGTAGCGCAGGCAGTAGTAACTTGCATCGTAACCCGCACCCAAGTTACAAGGAAGATAACTACCGTCTGGCGCAGTCTTACAGACGGGGGGCCCCACAATCAGTTGTACTTATTGCCAAGGTCCACACACCTCTAATAGTTGTCAAACTGTCTCAAATGTCACATCCCGAAAGGACATTTTACGAAAAGGCGGTCGGTGTTTCTTATGCCTAAAGAAAAATCACTTTGTCGAGATTGCAACTCTAAAACTCAGTGCTTCAAATGTCGTGGTAGGCATCACATAAGTATCTGCACGAAAGATAGCAATCATCGAAAGTCTGAAGACCCTGCCAATGTTCAGAAAGGTGCACAACCGGACCAACGATTACAAGCTCAGCAGAAAACGGGATCGGAAAATAATTCCCTCAAACAACAACCAATAGAACAAATCTTTTCGTGAGCTCCAAGACACCTGTCCTTCTGCAGAAAGCCCAAGCAACCACTACGCAAGGCGATGCAACAGTGAACAGTGCGAAGGTGAGAGTCATTCTGGACAGCGGTAGCCAGCGCTCTTATATAACTAATCAAGTAAGAAATCAGCTAAATTTACCTACAGAGAAAACAGAAACAATGGTGATAAAAACATTTGGTTCAGAAGAAGAGAGAATTCAAACCTGTGATTCTGTAAAGTTTGTATTGAAATCGCAACATGACCAAGCTGAGATACGTCTGTCCGCCTATGCAGTACCGATGATATGTGAGCCACTGCAACATCAGTTTACTTCTCAAGCCCAACAAAGTTATGGTCATTTGCGAGACCTGAATTTGGCTGATTGTTCGACAGGGATAGACAACTCAGAAGTCGATGTTCTCATTGGATGCGACCAGTATTGGGATCTTGTGACAGGAGAGGTTAGAAGGGGAGAAAATGGTCCAACGGCAGTCGGTACAAGATTGGGATGGGTTCTTTCTGGTCCAGTCGAAGATGAGCGGATGCCAATCTCCAAACCCGCTACGAACTTAGCCACTACACATGTCCTAAGATGTGCAACATCACCTACCCAAACCCAAAGCCAAGGAATTGAAAAGGATCTGAGAGCTTTCTGGGACTTAGAGTCACTTGGCATACTGAAGCAAGAAAGGTCGGTACATGACGAATTCGAGAGCACCATCGCATTCAAGGATGGACGGTACGAGGTAAATATTCCATGGAAGAAACAGCACCAAATTCTACCCGATAATTTGAGATGAGTCGCCGACGATTAATAAATTATCAAGGATCAGTTGAATCGAGGAATTGTAGAAATTACATGCCCCATCATGCGGTGATAAGGCGAAACAAGCAAACCACAAAACTGAGAATAGTATACGATGCTTCGGCAAAATCGAGTGGTCCGTCCCTAAATGATTGCTTGTACACTGGTCCTGCAATGACACAGAGCATCTTGGATATCATTCTACGATTCCGGAGTCATAGAATTGCATTAGCCGGATATATCGAAAAGGCGTTTCTTATGGTATCAGTCGCAAAGGTAGATCGAAACGTCCTGAGGTTCTTATGGTTCGACGACGTATGGAGTGAACACCCGAAGGTCATTACCCTCAGATTCACCCGGGTCGTGTTTGGGGTGTCGTCCAGTCCGTTTTTGCTCAACGCCACCATAAGACACCACATCGAACAGTACCGTTGTGAAGATCCCCAAATTTGTGGATGCGTTTTTACGAGCCATTTACGTCGATGACTTGAATTCTGGTGGAAATGACGATGACTCTGTTTATATGTCGTATAAGAAGGCAAAGCTCCGATTGGCTGAAGGGGGTTTCAATTTACGAACGTTTGTTACTAATTCGCCAGGGCGAATTTTGGGAGAAGATTGAAAGGAACGAATCTACGTTATCCAGCAAGCTGGCAAAGGATATTAGTACAAGTCACAACTCTGAACAACCTGACGCTGTCGATGAAGATGAGACATATTCAAAGATTTATTTATTAACTTTACAACCATACATAAAATAGATTAAACCACTACATAATATGGTTGAAGGTATGGTCAACAGGACATGAATAGCCCCATGTGAAGACCAACCTTAATGAAAACAAACTATAACAAACATAAATCAAAGACGAGAACAAAATATAAATTTACAGAAAACATGACGAATTACGAACAACAGCTTAAGTTGAAAGAGCGGCACTTAGAACAGAAGGTTTTCCAAGTGCGCATTCTGTTTATATCGAAAGATGAATGAAGTAGAGAAGAGTAATGAACAGTTAGTCTGTTTTTAAAGGAGGAAACGGATGAACTATTACGAATGGTGGGAGAGAGATTATTCAAGAGAAAGACAATTCGGTTGAAAAAAGAGTTCCTAAAGAGAGAAGTCCTGCAATGATTGACACGAAGCAAGTTGTCCGAACTTGAACGGGTGTGAGACGAGCTGTTTGAAGAAAAAGTGACGAAAGAGGAGATATCTAGGTCGAAGAGACCGTGCTTACATTTAAAAAAGAAGACGAGATCCTTAGTTCCATCCAGTAGGATATTGGTAATAAATTAAGCTTTTTAAGGCGTTCAGGATATGGCAACTCATAATCCTGAAGGATAAATTTACTA